TCTGCAGGAAGAGGGGGAGAGATTCCAGCTGCTCAGAATCGATCTAGAAGCCGTGCAGTCTTTTAGGCAACCCAAACGAAGAAGGGAAGTAATTGAACTAAACACTTCAGCTAGAACCCTGCTCTGCGAAGATGGATTCCCTTTGAAAATACGATTGTTCCTTTCTTCCCATGTGTGATACACCAGCACTGAAAGACAGATTTTCCTAAGGGTGTTGATTGGAGATCTTGACCTCCATCGAACACTGATCCAAAAAACCATTTCTTCCCAGCTGTTGAAAAATTTGTAGAATTTGCATCTGTCTTGGATGAATTTCCAAAGAGGGGAAGAGAAGTTGCATCTGAAGAAGAGATGAGAGTGGGATTCTGTATCGATATGACGCAGGGCACAAATATTATCATAGAGAGCCATGGCTTTGCTATCAAGTGTAGGAAGCCTGCACTGAACAGCCAACCACATGTTAAACTTCATTCTTGGGATGGAAGCTGACTGCCACACTAGGTTGTGCCAAGGAACTGGTGGTCCATGTTGTGAGAGTTGGAAGGTTGTATGCTTCAGACTGAAGGAGCCAGAAGGGGACACGGACCAAATCAGCTTATCCTTCCTGAATGGAGGGGAGATTAGCTCTGGAATTGCTGAGAGCAAAGCATGTGGGAAACTCCAGAAGTTATTGACAATGAAGTTTGCCACTCGGGTACCTTCATCAATGCGAAATGTAGATAGGATAGATTGTGGAAATTTTAAACAAAGAGGCCCTCTAGAGGACCAATTATCAACCCAAAAGGATGTATCATTGCCATCATCAATAAGGTGTTTGATAAAATGCCATGCATGGTGCCTCAGTTGCAGAATTTTTCTCCAGCTCCATGAGCATGAATGTGGGATTTTCAAGGTCCAGAAATTCCTGCCTTTGATGAGATGTAATCTACACCAATCGATCCAGATTCTGTTGGAATTATCAGTTTGGAGCTCCCAGATGTATTTCAGGATAACTGCTTGGTTTGAGAGTTCCAAGTTAGGAAGACCCAAACCTCCTTCAGCCTTGGGCTTGCACACTGCATCCCATGATACCTTCCCTCCACTGGATTTCATTTCTGATCCATACCAAAGGAATGATCTGAAAGTCTTGTTGAGATCATTTATTACAGACTTTGGAAGAATGAAGATGCTGGACCAGTATAGTTGAGTGGAGACAAGGACTGATCTTACAAGCTGCAATCTACCTGCATAAGAAAGAGATCTAGCAGCCCAATGAGAAATTATATGGGTAATCTTCTCTATGAGCACTCTGCAATCAATGGCCTTAAGATTTGTAGTGATCAATGGTACCCCCAAGTGTCTGATAGGAAGACTTCCTTTGTTAATGCCAAGCAGATCTATAATGGCATTTTCAGTATGTGGATTGACACCAGAGAAGAAAATTGAGCTTTTTGTCAGATTAATGGTTAGGCCAGACATGGAGCAAAAGTAGTCCAGAGCTGATTTGATGATGGAGATGGACTCAATGTTCCCATAGCAAAGCAAGAGAAGATCATCTGCAAAAGAAAGGTGAGTAATGCCTTGCTCCTTACATTTCCAGTGGTTTTTGAAAGCTGGAGCTCTTCTCACATAGTCGTTGAGAATAGCTGAAAAAGCTTCAATAACAATCACAAATAGGAAGGGGGATAGAGGGTCACCTTGCCTTAGCCCCCTCTTCCCCTTAAAGAAACCTTAAAATTCCTCATTCAAAGCAATTGTACATGATGGGGATGAGATGCAAGCCAAAATGAGATCAATGAACTTATGTGGAAATTGGAGGAGGATGAGACAGTTTGAGATGAAATCCCAATTTACTGAGTCAAAAGCCTTCTTTAGATCAATTTTTATAGCACAGTGAGAGTTCCTTCGAATTGGCATCATCCAAGCATAAAATTACTTAAATTAAAATATTAAATGCAGTAAAAAGAATGCCATATAATTATAAATTATTAATTTTCTATTATATTTCAAAAAATACGAAAAATCATGAAAGAGCAAAACTATAAATAATAAAATATTTGCTATCTATATATTTAAAACTAATCGGAAGAAATGCTTTGTCAATAGTTGTTGTTGGATAAGGAGGGAGGCTGGCTCATGGAGCTTGCATAAATGGCAAAAGCCTACAATGAAATGATTGGGCTTTTACCAAAGTATTCCATGAGCTTAAATAACAGGCACAAGGGAAACATAGTTTCATATACTTTAAGTAAATAGGCACTTTATTAATGAGAAACTCAGCAACAACTTATTTCTACATTTTCCACTTGGATGAGTAATCCAGAAAATATATAAATAAATAAATTTCTAGTTGTAATAATGAGGTATCAACCTTATAACTATAAAAGACACAGCAAACCACACTATCTTTCTATCTCGCCTAGTAAGTCCCAAAGCTGGTATCAGATACCAATTGCTATTTTCACATGATATACCAGCCATATGTTTTATCAATCTTTGTTGATTCTCTGTTCTCAGAAGGTGCGTTGGAATCATCCCGCGAATTAGCTTTGGAAGAAAGAATGAAGAATTAAGAAAGATTTCAACCTAATTCTTTGTGGATGGGAAAGTAACCTAAAACCTGGAATCAATCGATCGAACAAGCCATTTCATTATTTCTATTCTTTTTGATGCGTTGGAATTAGTTTTGGAAGAAATAATGAAGAATAAAAAAGGTTTCACCCTAATAATTTTTGGATGGAAAATAATCTAGAATCATTGAACAAGCGTTTCAGCATTTCTATCATTTTCAAGGTTAGTATCGACGTCTTGATTAACAGGTGTTACAGATTTATTATACGTGTAGGTTAGTCTTAACTTTATACAGTTCTTTTTACATTAGGTATCGTTAATTTACAAGTTTTCGATATCTGCTTATCTGCATATATATTATCAGGCGCGTATTTCTGCAGTCCTCTACCGTCTACCGTCTTGTGGCCTTGGTGTGGCCACGTAATTCTTCGTAAAACAAACACTAAGTTCACGTTTGGCAATTACATCACTATTTTTAAGTAATATTTCACCACCATTTATAAATAATATTACAGAGTTTAAAAAGTAACGTCACCATTTGTAAAAAGAAATATCACCACTTTTGTAACATCACCATTTGTAAAAGGGCAATATTACCACCATTTATAAGTAACGTCACAGAATCTAAAAAGTAACATCACCATTTGTAAAAGGAAACATAACCACTTCTAATTTCAAATAATAACATAAATGATATGTTGAATTAAGTTATGTTTATATGTGACATTACTTAGTTTGCATTATGCACACATTTTTAATTTCAAATAATAACATAAATGATATGTTGAATTATGTTTATATGTGACATTACAAAGTTTGCATTATGTGCATACTTTATTTTGAGGGTGAAGATAATTTATTATTTAAGTGGTAATGTTGCCCTTTTACAAATGGTGATGTTACAAAAGTGGTGATGTTTCTTTTTACAAATAGTGATGTTACTTTTTAAACTCTGTGATGTTACTTATAAATGGTAGTGAGATGTTACTTATAAATAGTGGTGTAATTGGCCAAACACGACCTTAGTGTCCACTAGTTAAAAAATGATGTGGCCAAATATGGACCACTTAAAAGTTACAGTAGGAAACCGCATGGGAACTGCAGGTGATTCGCGCCCTTATATTATCGGTCTACTTAAATAGAGTTATCGGTTTACGTGTGACCGATCTATATATTTTCAAATATATATAAATAAGATGCGCGAATCACCTGCAGTGAGGCTCCCATGAAGTTTCCCGCTGTAACTATTAAGTGGTCCATATTTGGCCACATCATTCTTCAGCTAACGGACACTAAGGCCATATTTGGCAATTACACCACTATGTATAAGTAACATTTCACCACCATTTATAAGTAACATCACATAGTCTAAAAAGTAATGTCACATATAAACATAACTTAATTCAACATATCATTTATGTTATTATTTGAAATTAAAAGTGGTGATGTTTCCTTTTACAAATGGTGAGTTACTTTTTAGACTCTGTGATGTTACTTATAAATGGTGATGAAATGTAAAAATAGTCTAAAAAGTAAGATCACCACCATTTATAAGTAACATTACAAAAGTCTAGAAAGTAATATCACATAATCTAAAAAGTAGTATCACCACGTTTTGAGAGTGAAAGATACTTATAAATGGTGATGAAGATACTTATAAATGGTGGTGATGTTACTTTTTAGACTATGTGATATTACTTTTAGACTTCTGTGACGTTATTTAAAAATGGTGGTAAAATGTTACTTATAAATAGTGATGCAATTACCAAACACAATGTTAATGTCTATTAAGTGGAGTAAAACGTGACCAAATCAAGGCTACTTACTGCTCACTGCAAAAAAACTGCATGAAAATTGCACAACAGGTAATTCGCACCCATAAATAAGACCCTTAACCCTTTATATATATATACAAGTATCATGTTTTTAAATAAATAATTTCTCCGCTTCTAAAAGGTCTATAATTTTTTAAAATATTTCATAAAATATTCTTGACAAATGTAAGAAGAAACACTACTTCCTAAACAAATGTGGCAAACTCTAGAAAGCAACGCTGCCTCTGTAAAATTTTCTACACAAATGTTAAAAAATAGAATTAGCTAAACTACCGTGGTAAATTCTGAACTGTAAAATTTTTCTACACTAGTGCAAAAAATACAATTAGCTAAACTACCGTGGTAAATTCTAAAAAGTAAGACGCAGCTGGTTGCCTGCATTGCACAATCTCTCTAACAAGTTCGAATAAAATACTATACATAATTTAAACATTTAAATATAGTTTTTTAATAAAATTATTTAAAAAATTAATTACAGTAAAAATATATATATATATATATTAATTAATTTTTTATTACATTTCCAAAAATATTAAAAATCATGAAAACTAAAACTACCAATTATACATGAATGGCATGACTAGTTCCATCATCATCATGTCACCTCACCACAAGAAACTAAACAAAAAATAAAATAAATGGTAAACCATATGAGGATAGGGTATTAGTCAAAACATCCTTCATATTGTCTATAAGCAAAGATTCCTTTAGACAAACACATACTGCTTGGAATTCCATCCTGAATTTAAATTTAAAAAAAAAAAAAAAAAAGGTAGAACACTACTACTGTGAGGAGGGGGTAAAAAAGAAAGGGCAATTGACAGCTCACTTAAAGTACAGCCAACAGAAAAAAAGAACTCAGTTGAGGCTGCCTTCTTCTATGAAATGTATAGAGTTGATTTCAAAAGCTAGATTTTGGAGGGAAGGCAAAATGGCATCTGGTAGCTATGAGAAATCCGGTGGCCTGGTGGAGTGGAATGTGAATGGCTAAGCATTGACAAATTCAAGTGCAGCAGCCCACTCTTGCTTGGTAGATTGCGGGACCTTCTCATCACCAATATAGGGTGACCATGTCCCGCTAGACGCATCTGTCAGAACCCAACTGACCTCCTCTGGCACATTGTCAAAATCAAAGTTTGGAGGAGGAGCAGAGGGCTTCTTCTTCTTCTTCTTTGAACCAGATTTCTTTTGTTTAGGGGCACCAGGGCTCTCAGAAGACTACAAAAGCAATTGAGCTAAATGTTAAATATATATACACGTGTGCAAGAAAAAGGGAAGAATTAGTGAAAGTATAAAGGAAATTTCTCAAAATCATGACGAAACATAGATCCAATTTACACACCGTAGCATCAGCATCAGGATTCAGTTTCCGCTTGCGCTTCGATCCTGTTTCCAGAAAGTAAAGCACCTCTTGCTTTGACCTGAAGCGACGGCCTGCGACTGGTTCTACATAATACTGCACAACACATGGACAATTGACACCATTATTGGATATCTCATGAAAAAAGCACTTTTCCACTCTTTTTCCAAATATTTTGAACCAGATAACCACTCACTAACAAGATAAAGCATTTTTCCATTCTGTTTTTCCGAGCATTTTGAAACAGATAACCATTCACTAACATGATTGTTACACAAAATGGGACCAAAAGCAGAACCTAATCATTAAAATCTTTATAAAAAGAACGATTCTATATTTCACATTGAAACAACTCATTACAAAATGGTACAAAAAATAAATAGAAGTAGTTTAAAAAAAATATGCTATATTAAACACAATGTAGTCCATTTTAGTGAAACAAGACCCTTCCTAGATCTTTCTATATGAATCTTTGTAAGAGTTGTTACATTTCTGGTTTTACCAAGTTGCTAGTATACTGCCTCTGCATTCAGCTAACAGGTATTAGCAGATAATATGTTTTGATTTTTTGAACTTTAAGTTCGAGACAGGTCTAGATTTTTCACTGTATAAATGAGTTGCTTATATCCTGAAATAGAAAACTAGAACAGTGAGGAAAAAAAAATTACTTTAAATACAGCATCATCATCATCCTTCCATTTATCCCATATGGATGGGGTTGGCCAGATTAGTTCTCTTTTTCCATTCTTTCCTTATTATATACCATGTCTTCTCTTAGATTTAATTTTTTTTTTAAATCATTTTCAATTACTTCCTCCCATGTAAGTTTTGACCCGCCTCTTTGTCATTTTCCTTCTAGGCAAACAACTCTTCCTCTTCCTCTTCCTCTTCTAACCGGTGCAACATTAGTTCTTGTGTCTTTTTCAACGCCCAACACTCTGCTCCATACAATCTAGTTGGTCTAATACCCATTCTATAGAATTTTTCTTTTTATTTATTTAGTATTCTTATGTCACAAAGGATACCACTAGCTTGCCTCCATTTTGTCCACCCTGCTGCAATCCTACTTACTACATCACCATCTATCTCGCCATCTTTTTGCAATATTGACCCTAGATAACGAAAGTAGCTATTTTGAGTAACTCTTTGATCTTCAATTGTGATTTTTACATTGTCCTCATTTGTTACTTCATCAAATTTACATTCCATATATTCTATTTTAGTTTTACTAATTTTTTAGCCTCTTGCTTCTAGTGTCTTCCTTCCATATTTTCAATTTTGTTGCTAGAGCTTCCCTAGAGGTATCTACTAAGACTATGTCACCCGCAAATAGCATACACCATGGAATATTTTCTTGAAGATCTTTCATTGTATCATCTAACACTTTCACAAATAGGTATGGACTTAACACTGATCCTTGGTGAAGTCCCACTTATATAGGGAATTCACTAGTTTCTCCTCATGCAGGTAAAAAGGACAAGTCGATCCTATATGCCACCGCACAGAACTTCGGGAAGATCAAAAACAGTGCTGGACTCGGTATGGGATTATCAAACATGCTCAACTATAACAAAGAATTTTCCGAAATTCAGGGCTCCATAAAGTAAAGTTAGTCATAGTAAAGAGTACAAACTCAATGACAGTATTTAAGAAAACAGTCTAGACATAGCTTTCTCATAACTAAAAAAGCCACACTACGGTGCATAACTGATAGTGTGCATATATCCTATACAATTTGCAAACACATTCAACTTAATCATATAGCATTGAAAACATGCAATATTGGATGCTACAATGATATGAATTTTGATCATATATATAAATCACAAGTACTCAAGTCCAAGCGATATACACGTAAAAAATTCAAATACTTGACCACAAGCACATAAATCTGTACTACAAATATCTAGTATGATTAAATAATATGGTGTACTCCGCTCCCAATCTGTCAATCCGCACCCCAAACACTATAGCATTACATTCAGTAAGAGGATTGTGTGATTTGGGGCCCTACAGGGACAACATTAGGCAGCACAACATCTGGGCAGCTACCCCTTGCAGCCCAAGCACCCAATTTAAATTGTGTAATGTCCCACTTACAGGGTCAATCTAACAAAGATGGCTACAACAAAATTCACAACCTTTGCGCTTATTCACTACCATTCACTCTCTCTTGCTCCACCTCTCTGTTCTGGGCTGCCCCACTCCCACGCAGACCATATCTACCAGGCATTCCATTATACTTGTCCACTTCACACAGCAAAGAACAGAACCCATGAACAGAGAAAAAATGGAAGAGGAGCATGTAAAAGCGAGGTGAGAGGAATTTGACAACAATTGGTCATTTTAGTCTGTGTCAGGAAAAAAATTGGTTTTCAGAACTTCCGTCAGCAAAATTAAGACAAGTAAGAACATTATAGAATATACAGATACTTGATGTTCAAGTGCAAAAGCAATAATACAGAACTTCAAGGTCATCTTGAGTTCCTCCAAATCATTCCGCATATATTCTAAAAAGGCATTACCCATTGTTGGCCCCTCCCACAAACGGTGCTGGGAGAGTGGACCAAAGAACACCTAAAGTCTAAAATTTTTTTTGCACAAAGCCACTCTCAGACTATTCTCACAATTCTCACACTTGTCAGCTCGAGCATTAACCATTGCACCAAGTAATGGCATTCGTCCATATTCTAAAGCAGCAAACTAATTTGTGATGAGTTAGTTCTTAAACTATAAATTAATAACTTCAAAGTAATTCCAAGCAGAAAAGGAAGTGTAAGTTCTAGACTTAACAGCCATGCATCACAAAAGCTACCAGTTTACACAAATTAAATAGACATACATAATAAGTATCTAACATAAATGGCAAAAAAATTAAATATAGAAAAACAATTGATTAATAAGGAAAATAGACTCAATACAAAAACCCTAACAAGAGGAGGACAAAACTAATAACATGAGAACTATATCTACCATGATAAGATATTAATTGAGACAAAAATTTACCCTATCAATAAATCAATAAGTGCATCATGGGAGCAATCCCCAACATCGATCAATCAACCCTTCAACAACTGTTTCAGTCTCTTTGACAATGTGAAAAAAGACCACTTAACCTCAAGCCCTCTCTCGGCACGGTCTCAAGAAGCGGATGTAATAATATAACGCAAACATTTATAATGGGGATTACGTGTCACAGTAATAATTTTTTTTTCTAACTCACACAACTCAGCCCAAGAATGCACTGATATGCAATTTTTTGCTCCAATAAATATGAGTCTTCAATGATTTTTATTGGAGGTTGAAGAAAATTTAAAAGTAATGACTATTTAGCGGAGGTTGATGAAAATTTAAAATGACTATTGACTAGTAAATTTGAATTTTAGGTCATAGTGTACACTAAAAGCTTGCTAATTTGTACCATTTATTTAGACATAAATGCACTTTATATGAAAGAAATGAAGAGTTATCAAATAAAACAACATTCTAGCGTATTGTTGTTGTGGCCGTGCCGGAAATGAGCAGTGTCACACACATGTCCGACATGAACACGTGTGGGGTACAGCTGGACACATCCGGCACGGCTTAAAGTATCCTGAAATTTGAACTTTTTTTCCTGGTTGGAAACATAACAGAAACGATCAGGACATTATTGAGGCACTTTCAGAACACGGCAAGCTTATTTTACAATTATTTTTTAAGAAAATGAGTTCTATACAACTTTAAAACATATTATGGGTTAATTAGAAAAGTGATATAATCGGATGAAAAGAAAAATGATATAAAGTTTTAGAAAACAAAACAACATCAGTCCAATTCTAAACTCCAAATTAGTAATTACATTTACTATAATGTGTATTAAATCAGCAAAACTAATTATATATATTGTATTTTTTTTGTAAGTTTCAAAAATTTGGCGTATCACCGTATCGTATTTATATCCCGTATCCTTATCCATATTTTCTAGGTGACTGCCCCTAAAAGACATTCTTTTTGGGCACGTATACAAGTTAGGTCTCTAAAGTCCAAATAAAAAATTTGCCCCAAAATTATATATATATATATATATATATTGTATTTTTAATGTATCCTTGTCGTGATCTAAGTCCTATTTATTTTAGATTTGTCATATCAGTGTCCTATTGTGTCGTATGCCTGTATGTATATGTGATCTATAGCTCATACATGTGAAGTACTACTTTTATGTAAGATCTAAGTGGATAAAAAAGAAAAGAAAAAAAATCAAAAAATTCAAAAACTTTGTGATCATTTTATACATTAGAAGACTGATTAAACCACATCTGGAGGAGTATATGTCGATAGAGAGAGAGAGAGAGAGAGAGAGAGAGAGGGTGGGGGGGAGGAGTCAAAAATGGAATTCTTAAACCCCAGGTGCACAACTATCATTACATTGTTCTATCAATCGATACAACACTGTATCAGCCGTTATAGCTCCATATCAGAGATAATGCACCTTAATAGTCGGGTCGTGTGTGAAATATAGTCACACCAATGTATCGTTGAGACCTATGTTACATCATGTATGCATTTCGGGGGCAGGTACGTATCCAAGAATCAGGCACATCAAATCTACAAACAGAAGGGCACACGAACAATGCTAAATATTCATCTTATATAATATTTGAATTTAATTTTTTAGAATAAAATAATTTCTTTATGTTACCTAGTGTTTAATATAAGCATTTCACTAGTTTGGAAGCAAAAATATAATAAAAGTGAATCATCTAATATGCTTGTGCATGTCCAACCAAAAATGTATGACACAAATCCCATACCCACGTCCGAGCATAGAATGTCCGGCACGAGTACGTCAGCTACTTTTGGAGGGTTCATGTAACATAAATTGAGACTAGGAATCAAGTTTGGCGAAGTCCATTACGACTCGACCGATAAGCCGCAAGGCCCGCAACTCAACCAAGTCCTTAGACCTTGTTCTTTGGTAGCTTCGACAAGGGAGACTCTCCAATGGTTTCACCATTGACACGATCGTAGTGCCATTCAGATTGTAGCTAACAGAGGAGCAACTTTAGTTTGTCATCATCCAATTCATAAAGCCCAACTTGGTTTGGTTTGGT